CAGGAATGTGACATTAGCTTGGAGCAAACTAATCCAGTCAGTGCACAGGAACACTTGCTGAAACAGAGGGTTGTGAGAGCAGGCTGATGCCTTGGCATGGTGCTGTCTGCTCAGAGGGCCTCCCATCTCCATGAAAATGCAGGGATGGAAGGAGAAGGGGCATAAAAAAGGAGTCTAGACCTGAAAGCAGGACAGTTTTGTCTGCCCTTGCTCCTTTACATTGAGATGTGAAGCAGGGAAACGTCACTTCTATTGTGCTCCTTAAATGAAGCTTCCATTTACTTGATATCACCTTAAAAATAATTTCAAAATCACATCTCTATGGAGGAAAAGCTACTGATGTATTTTATTGGAACTTGGGGAGCAAAGAGAAGCAAGGAATAAGGCTGTCATAGCTTTGCAATGCAGGCAGTGAGTGACATGACCACCTCAAGCAAGAGCAGGGATCCCTGGGGCATTGCTAAAGGATCAGGTCCTGCCCCAGAGGTGAAATTCTGTTGAGGGAAAGTAATCCAAATTAGTTTGCCTTCTAAATATATTTTCTTTCCTCAAAGTTGTTTTCCCATGTGGAAAATATGAACCAAAGCCGAAAGCAACTGTTATTTTTTTGATGCTTGGGTATATAAAGCAAACCTGCCTCTCTTTCTGCCACTTGACACTCTTTAAAATAATAATGTCCCTCCTAAAGCTTGAGATCAATTAGAAGCTTCTCACATGCTTATTAGCTTTACTTTTCTATATGCTAAAATAGAGCTTTAATGCAAATTAGTCTTCAGCATTTGTAACACAAGTTTATAAACAAGCTTGCCCCTTGCTGTCCTGTTCTTTTGAATTTAAAAGAAAATATTTCTATTCCTCTAGGTTTGATGGTTTGAAAAACCCTAAGAAGTGCAGCAACTATTCTATGGACCAAGGAATCTTTCGATGCCTTTTCGATTTTAGCTTCCCAGAAGTCACCAGTACTTACCCAGCTATAAGTATTTTGATTAGAGATGATTCTGAAGAAATTAGGCCTGTGTGTGCAAGTAAAAATCCTACAACCCTTGGTAATTTTATCACCACATTCCATAAAATAGAATTATTGTTATTCATTCTTCAATTTTGGTGTTAACTTTTTTCCTCTTTCTGTTCCTAAGCTGTAATATAATGCAGTACAGGACTTGAACCACTTTTGTCACCAGTGAAATGTAATTTAAAATGATTTCTTTCATTTTCTGTTTCAGTAAAGCCTGCCACGCCCAGGAGTGTTGAGCTCTCAAAGATTAATGATGGAATATACATAGAATGGAGTGAATCAGACACCTTTCCAGAAAATTGTTTGTTTTATGAAGTTAAATATCACAGTGGTGATTCAGACACTGCTCAGATAATTGAAGTAATTTTTCGTTAATTGTGTTTGTTTTTTTTTCCTGGGTGTCTTTTATAACTTGTGTTGATAATCATGGTAACTTAAATATTTACTGTTTAAAAAATGAAAAATTGTGTATGGCCTTCCAGGATCTGAAGGGGCTACAGGAAAGCTGGGGAGGGACTTTTCACAAGGACTTGTAGTGAGAGGACAAGGGGGGATGGAAGGGGAGAGATTTAGGTGTGATATTAGGAGGAAACTCTTCAGTGTGAGGGTGGTGAGAGCCTGGCCCAGGTTGCCCAGAGAAACTGTGGCTGCCCCATCCCTGGAAGTGTTGAAGGGCAGGTTGGATGGGGCTTGGAGCAACCTGGGCTGGTGGGAGGTGTCCCTGCCCATGCAGGGGGGTTGGAACTGGATGACCTTTAAGGTCCCTTCCAACCCAAACCATTCCATGATTCTGTGCTGCATGTGAAGGGCTCTGGTGCACTCGCTGCAAGTGTTTGTGGCCATAAGAGTTTTCTCCCTTGCAGTAGGTTTCTGGTAATAACATCTGTGCAACACAGTTCAGCCAAGTCCCCTGAATCCTTGCCATCATTTCTTCTGGCAAGGCAATAAACTCATTTCACTTATCAGGAAATACGCTGAGGTCCATGAACCTGTTTGTGTCTCAGTGATAAGGGACTCTGGTCTGTTGGTGTTGGGCTTTCCTGTCATCCCTCTGCACTGGGTCAGATGGCTGCCTTGGCCTTCAGTGACATGACTTCATTCTTGTAAAGCAAAAATAATTGCTGGTGGACACAAGAACACAGAATGTTACATAGAAAAGTAAGGGGATAAAAAGACTGAGGATTAAAAGCAAAAAAGTGTATTAAAAGAAAGCTTTGAGTTCAGTGTCTGGATGTCCTCGTGGCTGTGTCTGATCAGAGGGGCTCTGTTTGATCAGAGGGGTAAACAGCCTGACAAGTGTAGGAGTGAGGTGGCAGTCTGCTACTGGGGAACATGTTTTAGTCTTTCTTCTACCCCACATGTAGCCAACTTGAATAATACCAACTTTCCTCAGTAAACTGGCATTTTGCATCCAAAAAAAGTGAACTCTGAGCCCAGTTAGTGTGTGTTTCTGTGTGTGTGTCTCCCTCTGTAGAGGCATCACAGAAGATTTTGGTATGCTCAGAGTTGGATCAATGTTGGTGCCCTGACAGGGGAAGGCAGAGTAAGTCACAGATGTTTCTGAAAAGAAAAAAAACAGGCCTTGTTCCAGACATTGAGTCTTAGTTTGATCATGGATGCCAAATGCTGTATGATAAACAGAGTAGTGAACGTTTAAATCTTAGCTTTGGGATCTCTGTTGAGGCAGTCTGTGGTGCTTAAATGCTACTGTGTCCTTTCTTATGAAGTTCACAAAAAGATCTTCCATCAGAACATTCAGATGTCATGAACTGCACAGTGAAAATGAGCTTTTAAGTGTCTGGGAATACAGTGTCAATTGGCTAAAGCAAATTGCCTTTTCTTTTTACCTTAGGTTGAAAAGAATTATATGTCAGTCCCTAGTGTTGACCCTAATAGCAAGTACATCTTCAAAGTGAGAGCAAAACCCAAGCCTGAGTGTTACAGCAGCAAGCTGGTCAGTGACTGGAGTGAAGAAAAGAGTATTGGTGAGTACAATTGTCCCTGCAAGTCCTTGTGCTTCACTCTTCACCTGTAAGGCATCTCATGCCTTTTGTCTGCTAAGTAAATGGGAGTAGATCATCATCTTCCTCTGTATCTACTTGATTTTATCTGAAAAGAGGGCAAGAGAGTTCTATTCCTTCAGCTGTGTTCAGCCTGGAGATGAGAAAGGGGCCTTCCAGGATCTGAAGGGGCTACAGGAAAACTAGGGAGGGACTTTTCACAAGGGCTTGCAGTGAGAGGACAAGGGGGGATGAATTAAAAATGGAAGAGGGGAAATTTAGGTGAGACATCAGGAATAAATTCTGTAGTGTGAGGGTGGTGAGAGCCTGGCCCAGGTTGCCCAGAGAAGCTGTGGCTGCCCCATCCCTGGCAGTGTTGAAGGGCAGGTTGGATGGGGCTTGGAGCAGCCTGGGCTGGTGGGAGGTGTCCCTGCCCATGCAGGGGGGGTTGGATCCAGATGATCTTTAAGGTCCCTTCCAACCCAAACCATTCTGTGATTTACTACCTGTACCGCTCTATATGTGGGTGGGATTGTCATCCTTGTAGCTGGGCAAGACCCCCTTGCCAGTGGCATCAGTTCTTCATCCCTGAGTCTTCTTCTAGTTTTCATTTGCTTGTCAAATATATCTGCCTTCTAATATCACACTTTTGAAAAAAACAAGTAATTGCTTACAAAAGTCCTAGTGTGTTTGGAAAACATCCAGTCTATTAATTAATTAGAAAATTAATTATTTTGTTGTCACTATTCCTAAAGAGCCTCCCAAAACATCCCTGATTTTCTACAATTTGTGTTTTCCAGGTGAGAAGATGGACTCTACTTTCTACTTGGTTTTAATAGTCACCATTCCATTAATAGTAGCAATATCTACAATAATTCTACTAGTTTATCTAAAAAGGTAAAGAATGATCTCATTTCCTGTCAATCCACTCATTCTGATTGGTCTTTGACTTGCATTACATTTAATCTCTCTTCCAGGTAACTGTCCATGGTGAGCATGTTTCAATAGCAGCTGCTTTACCCATCACATGCACTGCCTGACAAAAAGGGCAGCCCCATTTTGCCTCAGCCATTAGAATTTATTTCTAGTCCATGCACATGCTCTGATTGCACTTGGGTAACATTTTTTATATATGCCTACAGTTAGATTCTTGCTGCACACTTATTGCATCTCCTCTCTTTAAGCAATCAAGTCCAAATTCAAAATGAGGCTTGTGTATGAACTTTATTTTCCCAGATATTTAAAGAAATCTGCTTTTGCTGCTGCCTTTGTCAGGAGTGAAAACTGTTTAGAATTTGTCTGTATGAACATCCCCACTTCCCTTTGGAGAACTGGGTGCAGTTGCACCCAAGTATGACTTGGAAATGGGGATTTTTCCATGCATAACTCCTTCATCTAAAGCTTTTTCTTTTCATTTTTTTTAATGTTCTGAAGGCTTAAGATACTTATTCTTCCTCCAATCCCGGACCCGAGGGAAATTCTGAAGCGCATGTTTGGGGAGCAGAGCGAGGATTTCCAGGTTAGTAAGAAGCTGTTGGGGCAATTAATGGATTGGACCAGAGCCTGTAGGTTTCCCATTTTCTTTTTCCTAATATTTATGTTGATCTTAAAACCAATTGTATACATCCAAGTGTATCATACACAGGCTAAGTATTTATAATGCTAAGAGTTGTTGCCCAAAGCTGAGAGAGAGTTTTTCACTTCAAACTGCTTATACTTTTCTAGATACATGAATAGAACTGTATCCTTCTGTTATTTCACAGTCTGATAGTCCTTTACATCTGTTTGGGGTTGGTTTGGGGGCTGGATTTGGGAGGGGATTTTGTTTGGACTTTTTTGGTTTGGCTGGTCTTTTTGTTTGGTTGGGTTTTCTTTCTTTGGTTGGGTTTTTTTGTTTGTTTGTGTTTTGCAGCTCCACTAAACTACTTCTGAATGTTCAGGTCTTTCTCTGCTAGTTGCTCATCTTTACAGTGCTGAATAAAGTCACTGGTATTTGAATTCCAGCAACTTGTGGTTTTAGCACTTTTACATTAATCACAGTCAGTTTAGCTATGAAGTAAATCAGGGCGTTTAGCTTCTCATTGGCAAGAAATCAAAACCACCTGTCACTGCTTCAAGCTTTGGTTCATGGAAGGCTTCCTATGGGCCATTATTTTAGGAAATATAAACATAATCCTGGCTATAGAAACTCTTGTGCATTTTTTTATTAACTGGGTTTCTAAACAAAACTTAAGTCTGTAGCTCTTTCTGGAAAACATAAGGGAAGTGCTCTTGACAAGCTCTAATCCAAACCAGGATGTGAGGCAACATACCTTGTTCTCTGAACACAGTCCTTGTATGGAAGAGACCTTCTAACTCCCAGTGGCACCTCAAAATCAGCAGCACATGTGGAACATTTGGAGAGGATAATGACTGTCTGGTGCTGCCTGTGCTTTGGATGTTCCCAGTTGAACAGGAGTTGTAGAAATCACTGACTTTTTGAAACTAAGTCCCCTTTTCTGGCCTCCCAATTGCAAATGAGTCAGGGTCCAAAATCCAGGATTCTTTCTTTTTGTTTATGCAGAATATTCTGAGGTCACCTAGTAATAAACCAGAGCTATGTGGGAAGCATGGATCTGGCCTCCTACTTTGCTATATTTTGGTTAAATATTTCAGTGTGTATTTGTCATTCTGGGACTAAGATGGGACTGTTGGCCATGTTGATCATAAATATGGTTTTACTTCGTTGTGCTTGGACAAGTGCTTTGTTACTGCCCACAGTAACTCTATGGTCTTGCCTCTGAGTATTATCTTGGTCTTTATGTGCTCAGGGTCTCAGTGAAAACTCTTCTAGGCATGTCCATCCTCATTTCTTCATCCTCCTGCCTGAGCTTGAGCTGTTCACTGGCTGTAGTTGGAAGCACTCTTAAGATGGGGACCAACCTTCTGTTCTCCTCCAGAGAAAATAACTCTTCTGTCAACCAGGCCTATGCCATGTCCCTTATAAACACAGTTTGTTGCCCACCTGCCTTGGCTTTTTCACCATAACGTAGGCTCTACGTTGTGAAATGGGCTGAAAAAACAATGCTCACCATGAGGAAGTTAAGTGTTAAAACAGTTATAAGTAGAGGGGTTTTTTTCTGTTTCAGAGCTGTGCAAAGGATGAATCTGTGAATGCATACAACAGGTCAATTAAGGAAGAAGAAATTCATACCTTAATTTTAACAGAGACTCCAGTGGGCACCAATTCTGAAAAAGAAACCCGGTAACCTCTGCTTTCCCAGGGAGAGAGGAGGAGACTTCCAGTCCCGTGCCTCAGGTGACAGTGTGGATGTGAAGAAGCTTGGGAGGCATTCACCAGCTTCCACCTCACAGAGTCCTCTCTGAGCCTTAATTCTCTGATGCTCAGAAGCTACATCACTAACAGTGACCATTCCTCAGTTTCTGCTAGAAATGCTGATCTTGGATGATTCAAGATGAGCTCCATGGTCCTGCATTGCAGCTCTTCTCCTGGCTGCAGCCAGCCCTGCCCTATGACTTGTCATTTGCACTTGTGTTGGTGCCTCAGTTGGACTGTAAATGGGCCTTTTGGAGCAAGCACTGTGACTTCTCTGAAGCATCTGGCTGTTTTGCAGCGGGTGACATGAGGCTTGTTTACAGCAGACAGCTCATCAGTGCCACAGCATGGAACTGCTGCCAGGTAGGATGCCAGAGCATGGACCTTTGTGGATGGATTGCTTTGTTTGCTCCAGGGCAGAGAGCTTTCCAGAGGGCATTTCTGGACTGACCTTACCTTTCTGGTTGATGTGTGTCAGCTGTGGCCTGCTCAAACCCCATAAAAGAGGGTTGTTTTGTCCTTAAAAAAATGTGCATGAAAAGCCTCCCTGCTCTCCAGCTGGTATTCAGACTATTAACCAAAGAGGTTTAGTTTTTTATCCTTCCAAATGCCTGTCCTCAGATGCCTTGCCTTCATGGACTTCTGGACTTGTTTAAAATGAGAAATATATTTTTTTACCTGTATTGTACAGTGGCAGATAACTGTGTTGTGTCTCACCAGACTGTGATTCTCCTTTGGCCAAATGGGCCTGAAATTACCTGATTTTTGGAAGCTGAGTCATCCTGAGTCTGCCCAGAAGAATCACCAGGATGGGCCTGTGGTCAAATGGATTAGCAAGTGCTAAACTGCTGAAAGCAAATGAGTTGAAAGACTTCAAGAGCCACCTTTACTGCTGAGCTGATGGATCTGGGGAAAGAGAGGAGGACAACCTTGGCTGCCTTTCTAAGGGAAAAGAACTTCCCCTAAGGGTGAACTTCCCCTGTAGGAGCTTAGCAGCTTAAAACAAGGTGCTGATTTGACTTGAAAAAAGTTATTTCTTCTATATTTTACTGCAGCAAGTTGATGACTTTTTCTTTTCTAAATCACAGACAGATTTGTTAATTTTGTGATGGTTTTGGTTTGAGGTTGCTTTACCCAGCAATGCTCAACAGACACTTTCGGTCACAACTGACATTTCTGTGCTCTTTAGTTTCTCCTCTGCTGCAAGAGTAGAGCAGCAGAACCCTGATTGTGCTGGAGGTAAAAATTCAAGTAATGGGAAGAAAGAAATCCTCTTTATGGTCAGTGTTCAGGAATCTCTTGCTCCCCCCAGCTAAGTGCAGCCACTTAGTGATACAGTCAGACTGGGAAGAGATCTCAGATGTTGGCTAGGAATAAACTCTCCAGCCACTAACCTTTTGAAGTCCAGCCCTGTCCTCAAACTCCATTCAGTCAAAAATCTGAAATGCAGTGCTGCCTTTTTAGAACACACTGCTCTGATGGAGCTAGAACTAACAGAGCTTGTCTTTTAGCTACGAATTTACATTCTTTGCCCTCTTATGTATTCCCTCCCTCTCAATAAATTCAGTTTTCCCCCCAGTCCCACTGAGCCTCTCAAACATGCAGTTTCCTCCACATCTCTTATCTACCTCTTGTTACTGGTGGTAGCAGGGGGAGGAGAAATGTAGCAGAACCAAAAAAACACGTTTTAGTTTAAGTCTTTTACTTAGGATCAGGCTAAACATGGGGGGAAAAAATATAAAAATTGTTTAACAAGAGAAAATAAATCCTCAGGGATTTCAGTGAGATAAAACTCAGGTTATACAAGGTCAGCTAGCAGCACTATCTGATATTCCAGAGGTAAAGGAATAGTGTGGGGGAAAGGGTAATAAAAATCCTGTGCTGACTTCATTCCTCCTCCCCTGCAACATTTATGTCATTATAGTGATACAAATATTTTTCAAATCTACCTCAACTACAACGTTGGTCATTATAGACCACTAGACAAACAGAAAGGTGTGGTTTCAGTATAAGTGAGCATAACAGTGTATGTTTTGTGGCTTTCAGTACAGCAATCTGGGAAGATCACCCTCAGCACTTCACCCTAAACTCTTTTGACTTGGTTTTGGTATTTATGGTAAACCCAAAGTTTGTTTGAAAAGCAGTAACAAAGAAACAAATTCATAAAGCCAAAGGAGTGGAAAAAACAGATGGGAAGTGCTAGGTCAAAAGGAAGACTTTAAATGCAGATGATGGTTTAGATCACTTGATAGGAATGTTTGGGCTAATTCTTTATTTCCCAACTAGACATAATTGACATACTTCCTAATGGAGGGTTTTCTGGAACCTGTGTGTGGGCATGTAAAGTAAGTGCCTGAGTATATTTCAATCTTTCTTATGTCTTGTTTATGGCCTGGGTATTTTTAGCTTGACATTTTCCAAGTTTTGCTGTCATTTCTTTGTTCTTCGTTGCAGTTTCTTGATCTGTACATTTGTTTAAAGAATGAATAAATATGTTTGAATGTGGTTTTTTTTCAATATAATTGAGTGGCATTTTGTTCTCGGGCTGAAAAGATAAATTGAGACAGCAGAGATGGCAGTGGCTGAATGTGAATCCATGTTTCAGGCATGCAGAACCCAGAGCAGAAACCCCTCTTCCCTTCCAGCTGTGAGCCCAGCCTGGGCCATCAGTGGGGAATGTTCCAGCTGCTGTTTTTTTGGCTGGAGTGATGAGATGGAGGTGGAACTGTGCACAAGACTTGTGCCCTCACCCTCTGTGTACTCAGCACCATCCTGCCTTCTTACATTGGCATGTTTTTATCATACCACTGTAGAGAGTTGATAAATTCTCAGACTGGCATTAAACTGAGGTTGCTGTAGCCTTACCAAAGGTGGCTTCAATTTTTTAAGTCTTTGTTAACTGCTGAAGTCAGTAAAAATGCCAGGTTGTTAAACTGATGCAAACCATTCCCTAAATGATGAGACCCAAATAAAGCACATTAGCAAAGGCTTCTTTGAAAGATTCACAGTCAGCCTGCTCTGCTCCCTTCAGGTCAGTGAGCAGATCATTCAAAATTCAGGAATAAACCTCGAAGCTAAAAAGCCAGTCCACGTGGCATTTTCTTTTCCAGTTCTACAGTTTTTGTATTTGATTTTAATCCTTCCTCCACAAGTGACCTCTTCTTATTTTAATACACGATGATGAGTATTTGAAGTTTTCTGTATTAGGCATGCTAGGAAAATGAAACACTTTTTTTTGGTGTGAATTTGGATTTATGTCAATGGAGAAATGCTGTGACATAGTTGGATAGCTGTAAATGGGTCAGCAGATGAGCACACCAAACTGTAAGCCATGGTGTGTCAATGCTCAGTAGGCAGAACTGTTCACAGATTGGGTATTTCCATTCACTGGAAAATATTCAATAAACTTAGTTCTGAATTGGAAATTCAAATATTCAGAATTTCCTCTAGAAGGGTAATGTTGATTTATTTTTCATCTAAAAAACAAAAGGAGGAGACTTTCCGTTCTGGAGGGTTTTCCCCTCACCCAGGAAAGAGCAGAGGCAGGTGACTGGAAGCCCAGGTATGGTCAGAGCTCTGCAGAAACCTCCTTCCTTTCTTCTCCCCCCAGCACCACGTTGGGCAGCATTTGAGCTCTTCAGCTCCAGGAATGGGCACAGTGGGGCTGGGAGGAGCTGATCTACCAGGGTTATTGAAGGTTCATTGAGGTGATTCTTAGTATTTGCAAAAATAAAAGGTTTCAGGGGAACAACCCCCCTGGGCTCTCTTGCCAGCTCAGAAACGCGGCTTCTAGAGAACCCTCACAATCCAAACGCAAAACCAGATTAAAATCTCTCTCTTTGGATGAGCTTCCTGCTAGCTGTGGTGAACGTGGGAGTCTTGAGATCACGTTTATGTAACTAAATCCACAGCAAAGCAATATGGCTGGGAGTGGGAGGTGCAGGAGAGAGACAAACTTTCTTTCAGGTCCGGAAACTCTGCCTCAGGTTCGTAGTGTGTGAGTCTGAAGCTTGTTGATGACTTGTGGGGTTCTGGGGGTGGGTTTTTTTTGCTCTCTTTTCTCCAACTGTGTTGATAAGGTTAATGAAATCCTTTCTCTTTGCTTGTAAACCTTGTCTTGTTGATCATTGAAGTGTCCCTTTGACAGCTGTGCTCTGGTTATTGCCAAGGAGTCTTCTGAAGGTAGTAACTCAGTGGGACATGATCTCTGCTGTGACCACAGAGCTGCAGAACAGCCACTGTATTCTAGTAATACTCTCTGCTGCTTCTGTTTCTGCCAAAGTACTGCAATTATTTTGATGACTCTTGCACAAAGCATCTACAAAGAGAAGCTTTCCAGTAAACCAGTACTTCCAGTAACCATACTCTTTGCTTATTATGTTGAAGTTCTTCCTCTATTTAGTTTGGCTTAAAACTTGGCAAGGAGCATGATGAGATTGAAAGCTGAGTGAGAAAAGGGATTTTGTTAAATTCATGCACTGTAATTTTTTTGGAGCCTGGACAAAATTTACTAAGCTAAATCAAAAGTCAGGAGCAGCTCCTTCCAGTAATTTAATTACATTTTTGATGATTGTGTAATGTCTTGCTTGAAAAGTAGAGCTGGCCCTATGTCTTCTGTGCTCAAAAAAGCCTAAACCCAATGGAATATGTGCTTCATGCCAGGAACAAATGTATGTGTGATGGGCAGGCTTTCCTATTGATCTAATGAAATCCCGTGCTCTCAGCAGTTGCTGTCTCCATGTGTACCATGGAATTCTGTGAAGTCTGATAATGCCAGAAAGGAGGTGTTTTTAAGGCACTTAGCTCTGCCATTGTCACTTCTCCTGAACCTGTTTGTAGCAAGTGGAAACAAAATCAACCAATTTTTCTGACAGTAGCAGTGAGAGCACCAAAATTAGTCTGTCTCTGTTTTGCCTGCTGGAGCCTTTCTCCCTCCTCACTTCAAAGCTTCTTAACCCACTAGTTTCCATCCTTCATACAAAATGTCAGTGTAGTAACTTCAGAAATGCCAGCTAGCTACTCTTAAAAGGTGTGAAACTGCTCAGTCCTTCAAATGTCAAAGTTAGTTACAGTGACAGCTCTTCAGGGTATGGCTACTCGGTTTTAACTTCACATCCTATGGTGTTCTAGGAGAATATTCAGCTGTAAATAAACCTGAGTAGATCAGCAGGTACCAAGGCAGAGGTGTTAGTTGACATTTTTCCACAGCTGATTTTTATAGGTCTTTTACTGCTTACAAGATTGTGTGTCTTGTTTTTTTAGGAGGAATAAAAAGTAGGAAACTAGTGACATACCAGTCAGAGAGAGAAGGGAACCTGCCTTTCTGTGTGGTACTTCAAGGGCTGTGCTTAAGCCTGGGCTGGAGCAAAAATCCTGCAGCCTTGGAAACAATGGGCCATTTTTATTAGGTGTGTAACATAATTTATTTGGTTTTGTTTCTGGGATGTATGTGAATCTATTAAAGCTTAGGGCTGGAAGAGTGGTCAGAGTTCCCCCTGCCCTGTCCTCTGCTGAGCAGAGCCAGCACAGAGTGCTCATGGTGGAGGCTTTTCCAACTTGGAAAAAATACCTAGTGAAAGAGTCTCCCAAATGTTCAGTCCCACTGCTGGATTCTCCTTCATTAGAAAACTTCCCCAGTCACTGACCTAAGTTGATTTTGCTGCAAATTAGGTTGCTGCCTTCTCCTTCCTCCCATCACCAGGGACAGTGGTTGTTCAGCATCTAGTTTGTGCTCTGATCATGCTGCCCTGAGTTCTGTCTCTGTTCTTTTCTGCTTTAAAAAAGAAAAGAAAAGAAAAGAAAAGAAAAGAAAAGAAAAGAAAAGAAAAGAAAAGAAAAGAAAAGAAAAGAAAAGAAAAGAAAAGAAAAGAAAAGAAAAGAAAAGAAAAGAAAAGAAAAGAAAAGAAAAGAAAAGAAAAGAAAAGCCTGAATATGTCAATGTCATCTCCTAAGGTATATTTTCTAAATCATTCATTGTTTTTGTTGGTCTTATCTAGAGCTGAGTGTAAGCCAGGCAGCATAACCCTCAAGCCAGCAGAGCAATGACCTTATTGTCTCTCAGTCCTCTTTTCCCCATGTTTATCCAAAATGAACAGCTTCTCCTTCTTTCCGTGGCAAGGACTGTTGTCTAGCTGCTCCTTAGTTTGTGGCTTTCTGCAATTTCTGACCTTTTTAGCAATGCTGCTGCCCTGTCAGTCACTCCTTGCTGCAAAATTGATTTCTGCTGCCTAAGAGGAATGCTTTTAACAGTTTTACTGGATTGCTTTTTTTGTTGCTTGTG